TATATATATATATATAAATAGAACATCAAAATTTGGAAAAAAGTTTAAGGTAAGAAGAATAATGTTTTAAAGGTTGGATTTTGAAAAAAAAAAGAAAGGAAAAGTGAAAAATTATAGGTAAGGGAGATTTATTTATTTGTTTATTTTTGTTTTTTTTATACGTGTATTATGAGTTCGGTTAAACTGTGATTATTTTTTAAGAAATTAATAATTGCTTTGAGTATAGGATTGACTGGATATATGATTTGGGAAAAATGTTATTATTTTTCCTATTAACATAGGGGTGCAGATATTAATCACGGGGTGCAGAAAGCAAACTCCCTAGCTTAGAGTCAAAATATTTCACCCCATTAGGGATATCTGGCTTCTTTGTATATAATAACTTAAAACTAAAAAAAAAATTGAAAAACAAATGAAAAAGAGCAAAACATAAATTTGGAGAAGGGGATAAAAATAAAAGAAAAACCACAATTTGTTTCTCTAAATTCTGACGAGTTCCAAGGTAGGTAGCAACATACTCCAAATTCATACTCAATTCTTTCGATTAGTATTGTGGGTGTTTGTGGGGTGGGGATGTGGTTTTTTCGACGGTTGTAAAGTCGTAATTGAAACAGGAAAAGGGGTTTAGGAATTAAATGATCAATTTTTCAAAAAGAATTTTTGGAACTTTAAATGCTTTGATTTGATCATGATTTTTCCAGTGTATGAATGTTTGTTGTTCAATTGGGTATGCAGATTAAGGTCGAAAAGCCATGGAAGAGATGCCGGGTTCAGCAACGGCAATAAATTCTTCCAATATTGGATTTCAGGTACTTTGTTTCTTAGCTGTATTGCATTTTATGTGCTGTGATTCTTTTTGGGTTTTATAATTTCTTTTCTCTTGGTTCGTGAAAATATAATTTGGGGTGCTGTTTTATGCAGCTATTGAAGAAACAAGGTTGGAAAGAAGGGACTGGTCTTGGAGTATCTGAGCAGGTTTTCTTTCTTACTCTCTCTCTTTCTAACTGAATGATGGAATTTGCTCTCAAAAAAATGTTTGTAAATGTTGAATTCGTAACATTCAACCCTTCTGTTGATTCGTATTAGTTCAAAATAGACCATTTTCTTGATTTCTAATTCTTTGGAGATTACTTGTGTAATTTTTTTTTACTTTAGGAATCACTTAGGAAAGAGAGAGTAACACTTTACCTGGGCATTAAATGTTCTTAATTCAAAAACACATGCTTGGGGAACAGAAATAGCATAACCATTGTGATGATTACAACAATTCTGATGAATAATTTGTTATGGAAACAGGGTAGATTAGAACCCGTGGAAACTTATGTAAAGAATAATAAACGAGGTTTGGGAGCAGATAAAGTGAAGAAAAAGGCCGTGAAAGTGAAACCGGATCATAGCGATTCCTCTAAAGAGACCAGTCAACAGGTAATATTTTCTTAAGATTGTCTTTTAGATCACTGCCTAGGGTTTTATACCATCTCTCTGTTTGCATCTATTGTGTAAAAATTTACATAAACAATTTTAAGTGGTAGAAAGAACTCTGGCATGACATATCCAGAAGCATGACATAACCATGAAATTACTACCTTTTTGTTTGGAGTTGGAGGATGAACGGAAAAGGCTGTATTACTTGAAGAATGTTGGTTCCAAGTTTAATTGATTGAAATAGACTAATTCTTCAAATTCCTTTTTTTTTTCCTAAAATTTGGTGTGGGTGTTCGAGAAGAAAACTTGAAGGAACACTAACCAAATGGAGTTGTTCTGGAGGGTATTCTTTTGGTGTTAAAGGGGTTGACAAGCTGAACTTGTTCGTCAGGCCTAGACTCATAAGTTTGAATCTGACCAAGTTTGCTTGAGACAAATGATTCTTTCATGTGATTCAACTCATTTTTCATCGCTGGAATTGTAAAGTAACTTGCTAGTTTGGCAACCTTGAAATGGTGCATTCTCTGTCTTACTGCAAACAGTCCCTGCAAACAATAACTGGCCGTAAATAAGGCACTATGAGGCACTAAAACTATTGATTTTGAATATTTGACGTTTTCATGTTACTGTGGCAGCATCATTAGTTTTTTACTGTAAATGATTTACTGCTTGTCATTGGCTGTAAATAATTTCAGGATCATTTACCTCAAAAGAAAAGCAAAACATTGTCTAAACGGATGAGAAAGATGCAGGAGTTGGAGAAGAAAATGCAAGAGAAGGAGTTTGAACGATCTTTTTTCAGAGAGTTCTGGCCAGAAAATGTATAAAAGAGAATCAAGTAGTCTATATTCTGTCAGAAGTAGAGAAGATTTCAGAACTCGTGCAAATTGGATCTCCGGGGTGTTTTTTCCAGGATACAGAAGTTATGAAAGGCCATTGCGAAATGTAGGAATTATGTGCAAATATTCACATTATCTTGTGTTATATGTAAAAGAGTAGGGGGGAAAACATTGTATTACTATTTCGTTTTTTTACGAAGTGAATATGTAAAGAGAGATGAACATTTTTTTTTTACGAAACATCCAATTTGTTAATAAAAACCTGAAGAAATAAAAAATCAACAATTTTTTTCAAGATCATAAACACAATACGTCGTTCCATTAGTTATTTTATATCTAATTTTAATAAATAATCAGTTTTTTCAAAAAATAAATACACGCGTATTAATTAGTCTACAACAAACTATTAACAAGCTAAATTGAATCTTGAAAATACTTACTGAACGTCAAAGAAAGATTAAAATGACTCATGTTCAATTATGAGAATTGTGTGGTGTTTACTCAAGAATAAATTGAATTTGAGTACGTTTTCGTAGGATCAGTTTTGGGTATTTACATATTTTTCCCACAATCCAGTATTTAGTCATGCCTAGATCAAATTCTATTACATCAACATATTGCTTATTATATCTACTGAATTTTAAAGGTAATGACATCGAAAATAAGCTTGTTTTTGTCAAAACTTCCTTAGCAGATCACTGTGGGGCCGTACAAAAGATCCAAACTACCTGAGGAAGCATAGAAGAGGTAAGAGAGTATTATACAACTTTGCTGCCAAATACGAGAAGGATGCATACTTGAAGAATAGACAAAAAAGGAGAAGAATGAAGGAACTAAATTATATTACCCAGAAAATTATGTGAAGCTTTTGGGCGTATGAAATCATTTTCTTTTTTTGGAGTCTTCAGGCTTAATGAGCTGGACAGGAGCAGCTGGTATTCTGATCCACCATTCTCTAATCCGCCTTATCCATCTATCACTACTTTCCTTCCTACATGGCATCTCCCTTGTGTAATACTCAAGGAATACTACCAAAAAGATATATTTTGGTGGAACAAAAGCAAACACAGCTGCTATGAATACAAGTATTACTGCAACCTTCTCTGTTGCCTGCACAACAAATGCTAAACTTCAGAAAAAGGTTAACTCTTTAAGGAATCGTTTTTAGGTAAAGAAAATCTCTTTTAGGTAATAACATATCTACTTCATTCACATTGGATTATGAAACTCTGCACAAACCTCATTTGTATTCGACCATCTACATGCACAACATTTTGTTTTTTTTCATCGTAGAAATAGAGCATGACTACGATACTCACCTGTGGTAAGATAGCAAGTAGAAGAGCTCTCAACTTTAGGAGAGTAATATTTGCAGCTTGAATGACTGCTTCAAAATGTGTAATCGCCTCTTGTAATGTGAGCAGTTGTTCTACAGCATTTCGATTTGCGGGAGGAGTTACTATGAAGGCTTCTAATGACCTTCCCTTTCTGAAATACCTTCTCCAGAGCATGAGAATTGCAACAAACACAAAAATGGATGGCAGAAGGTACTGGATCCACCCCCTGTATGCAGAATGGTGCGAAAAACATCATGGACAGATTAAAGGCAGGACAAGTAATTAGACGTAACATCAGACATGCACTCGTTAAATAATATAAAAAATACATTTGATCAATATCCTTCCATATTGATTTGTTTCTTTGCTTTTTTGTGTTTCTTGAGTCTCTTGTACTGTAATTTGGTTTAATTTACAATTATTTCTCAATAATCAATACATAAAACTCAACACCTAATAGTGATCAACTTGAGCTTTGTCCATTTATATGTGTGAGGAAAATGCTAATAAACTAAGGAAATCATTGTTGTGTCTTACCCATTACTTAGGGCACATCCGTTTGCACTAATTTACTATTCAAGTAGATTACGTGAAGCATATTAGTGATGACTAATGGTGTTTGTTTCCAACGATTTGCAAGCAAGCGATGGAGAGCACGGATTAGCAGGATCACATCATCCTTCCATCTCTCGTGTGTTGAACAAGTTTGAGAGTGATAGTGATTTTTTACAATAATGTTCCTACTATATTAAGGTGGGTGGTTCAGTTTATTAGTTCTAAGAGGTGGGAACTTTTGTTTCGGAGTTTTGTATGTGTTGGTGGAAATAGTGCGGTATTCAACTTCACAATGTTTGAGGTGAGTTCCATAGGAGGTCACATGGTAAAATGGGAGTAACCCAATAGCAGCGTGGGTGGTGGGGTGGTAGACCTCCATGGTGGTGAAGGCAAATGGGAAGGTGGTCCTGGAAAGCGTTTCATGAACGGTTGTGACAGTGGAGTGTTAGGAATCGGTTTTGGGTGTAGTGGAACCAATTCCATGAAGGGTTAAAGGCAAGGGAATTGGTTTTGGGGCTTGTGGAACCGATTCCATGAGCATGCATATGTGTGGGTTCTTGATTATATAGCTTGTTGTGATTCTTGATCCATTTACCATATTCAGGGACCTTTGAGAGTACTAGGATTATGAATATTAAAATTTCTCCAAGACAAGTCTAAAAAAATATGTAATAATTATATTATATAATAATAATAAATAATAATAATATATATTACATATATAATAATAATAATAAAATAATAATATTAATAAAATATTAATTTTTACCTTAATGGCAAAATGGTAACCTTATATTTTAATCTATTAAAACTTTTTTTTATTTATCATATCAATCAAATCACTCACAAACTCTCACAGTTTTTACTTCCAAATCCACTCATTTTCACGTCCAAATCCTTTAAAAGAAAGGACACAAACTTTACCTCCAAATCTATTCAAATTCACCCACCCACTCTCCCTAAAATCCATCTTCAAAATGAACATACCCTTAAGGATTTAGATAAAGTGGTTATGATTATTAGATTTATAATTGACGGGACAAAATTTGAGACAAGAAACAACACAAAAAATGTGAGAGTTGAGAATGAAAGCTACCTATTAACAAAAAATGAGAGAGGTACTGACATTTATACAGAACTCACCAATTTAAAAACACATAAAATGACAAAGGATGTTAATGTGGGCCAAATCCAATCATATGCTGATTTTACAATAAAACAATTACCTTATAATCATATAACACGTGAGTAGCAAAAAGGCTGCCGATTTGTAGAAGTCTTTCCATGAGGCCAACAGCCGTAGTCGATTAGCAGATACAATGACGGGGAATAGTAGTTCCTACAAAGAGTTAAAAGAATTAACCATACCACATATACAAAAAATATTAGTTCCTTTTATTTTTCCATCATCCACTTGGGAAACTTTATATTTTGAGTTTGAGAAGCTAAGTAATTCAATGGATATCCTAAGCCAACCCAGTATACATATTTTCAGGTTTAAAATTGAAATACATTTCAAGTATGAAGCAAAATAACGAGATGAAGGAGCATTTTCAATTTTAGTTGCAGCATATTTCGACAACGACAACAACAAAGCTATATCTAACTGAGGATATAAAGCATATTATAACAAATTCATGTCAGTTTCCTTTCTAATTAATCATCTTAACTTCACTATAATTTCCATAATCAAAGGAGCTCAGATTTATTTTTTCCAAAAAAATAAAGGAGTATGGAATGTAAATAATAGTGAACCTTCATTACAGCAACATTTGTATCGATTCCCTCCACCTTCACTTGGTCCACGGTTGCTTGTGCAGCTTCAGCTTTTCCAGTGTCCAGAAGGGACTTTTTCACTGCAATTTCCAAGGGATGTATCTCACCAACCTGCATATCACTAACAAAAATTGTTCCCTCACAAATATCAACCATCATTTTTGATCTGAATCCAAGATAGAAAAGTGCCATAACTGCAGCTGGAGACACTGATAGATGCCCTTTTGTATCTTTAGAGGCAGGAACATCACGTTTACCAGAAACAGCAGTCAAATTTGCTAAGTTATGTGCAATGGTTTCCAAGATTATGTCTCCCCGTGGAAGATTTTCAGCTAGGTTAAAAGTAAGTAAAGTTTTATAGTGGGATGAGAAAAACCGGAAAGCTTCTCTAACTGCACGATAACGGAAAATGCCCAGAATAGCCCTGGCAAGTACTTCTAGTTTTTGTGTCTCTTTAAGGTTGTATTTCCTGATAAACTTGTGTGCACGTAAGATCTCCAGACTAATGTCCAACCAATAGTCACGACGCAAGTTTGCTTTAAATTCAGGGAATTCAAAATATGCAGGCTCTGCTCTGTCAATACATAGTGAAAAATCATATTCAAGTGGACAGGTAATGAAATGTACAGACAAGTATGGTGAAATTTGTCAACAGATAACATACACAGAAGTTGACTTGTACATCACAGCTTTATCAAACAGGCGAGCACCAAGGGGTCCAGTTAGATCAGGCTTTATGACCTGTTTCAAGTCTGAGCACAGATCATATCGAACAGCTTTCTCATATATACCAACTCCCAGCGACTCAAAGTACAGAGCATAATTGGTCAGGGTCAACCGCCCTAAAAAGGTCAGAAAATTGAGGTTCAACTGAGTAAGGTGGAAAACATGTATGGATCATTACTTAGCAAGATGAAAATGGGTTCCTAGTCAGACACAAAGCAGCAAGGAAAGGTGATCTAAAATAATTTAATTCATTCCACACAATCCAATTTGCTGGCGTTCTACAAATCAGCTTCTAATTAAGGTCCTAAAAAGACTTCCCCTGAGCATAAATGCAGGAGATTATTCCATGATTTTTTTCATGCAAATAGACATTCATGATAACTAACCAGCACAAGGGTTTTCCTTTAATTGGTGCAAAAAAAGCAACTAAGGGAATTTTGTAGAAGTAATTAACTACAAATATTTGAGTGCAGCCCTTGGTGACTGATTGGGCTCTTAGTAGCTCAATGACTCCAGCAGCATTGTGCTAAATAGTGAGAGTTGCTAACCACCTATACAAGCTATTTGAATCTGTAATAATCACAGTAATAAATTCCAACATGTTGGAGAACTAAAATCAGCATCGACAACTAGACTATTTCAACAAATAAAATCGGCTTTTGGGTATTAGAATGAACGACTCACCAGGCCATGCAACGATTCCAATATGTTGAAGAACAGGTTGAGTTGGAATTGTCCCGTCAATATCAAGGACAATCTCCTCGTCAGCAAGTTGAAGATTTCCAACAGACGCAGACATCATATTCTTAGAATTCTTTATAACCCTGCGTGCAACTAGTGTCAGCAAGTACACAAACAACAACAAACACAACAAAACCTTATTCCATTAGGTAGGTTAACTACATGGATCACACCGCACTATTTGGTCGTTAGTAAAGACAAAGGTTCAGCAATGAAGGAAGTACACAAAAAAGGTAACCAAGTGGAAGGAATAAACAATAATCTTACTTATCAAGTGATCTTAGGTATTTGTCATAAACAAGAAAATGAAGCCTATGTGCGGAAGTACTCGTGAGTGCATGGAAGAGATTGTGAACAGTTACAACATCAGCAATGGAAACACACACAGGAGCAATCCGCGAGAAAGCCTCTTGACCAACCGTCTTCTTGCCATCAACCTAAACAAAAAACATTGCAATCACATCATCAACTTCATACTTGAATGACTATTAAATTTAGAGTTTAATAGTCCTGTACCATCAATGCAAAAATATCTCCAGTGTCAACCAATCAAAAACCATGACGATATAACTTCTAAGTTGATTATTGCAAAAAAGAAAAAAGAAAAACAACACACTTATTCTACATAACAATTTGTGATTGAAAAGCAGTGCAAAATTCTTAACCTAAATGGCAATCTGTGATTGGATGACAGTATATGAGCTTTTTACACTGATAGTACACAGCCTTTTTTTTCTCTCTTCAATTTTATAGCATAGGATAATGGGATAGGATTGTATTGATGGTGAAACCTGAAGAGCCATATTTGTGGAACTTGTATAAAACAAGGCGGAGTCATCCTCCTCCCCGACGGTTTCCTCTTTAGTTGACCTGGGGGTTTCCTGCAATGCACCGAAGAATTACATAATGATGATGAAAGTATGATGAATGCGTGAAAAAGAGAAGGGACTGAACTGGGAGGGTGTGGACGCTGGGAGCCTCCCATGCAAGCATCATGTCAAAGGTTAAACGACGGAATTCCTTGTCGTTTAAAAAATCGGAGCTTTCACTGAGTTTGTGAAGCGCTTTGTAGAAACAGAACTCCAAGAGGTGTCTAGCGTAGGTGAGAAGCTCTTTGAAGTCGGGAAGGAGTTCCGAATCGAAACAGTGTTGCAATTCCTGCGTGGACATTCCAAGGATCCTGAACACACCACCAAATGCATTCATGGGTAATGAAATGAAAATGAAAACGAAATTAAAAAAGAGAGAGAAAGAGTGATGATAATAACTTGGAACAGCGAAAGACGACGGAGTTGGCGAGAGGAGACAGCTGAGGGATGGGTTTGGAGGAATTGACAGAGTCATCGGCGGCGAAGGCGTCCGGCGAAGAAGGCTTGCTGCGCTGGAATAAGGATTTGAGCGAGTTCTGATGGTTTCGAAGCATGTTCTCCCAAATTCCCTCCATCTTCACACCAATCGCTCATTCAATTACTTCGCATTTCAATTCGATTCAACGATTTATATGTCTACGCAATGCACATTGCTCAAACCACCTACTTTGCTTCTGCATTCGGTGATCTCGATCTTTTCACTTTTTCCCCTTTTTCATTTTACTATTTTTATTCTTTTTTAATTCTGCATGTTCATTTACTCTTTTTTTCCATTGGAAGAAAAGAACATATATTTTTCAGAAAATAGTTTTACTTTTATTTCCACACTTATCCTTTCTTTTAATGTAGCAATTTATTTACATTTTTTTAAATTTAATTTAAATCAAAAACTGATAAGGAACAGGAACAACCTCAATGAAAAATTTATATGACTAAATTAACCTAAACACATTTCAATTATGTTTTCTGACAAACACTTTCATCTAACAAAATTCAATTACAAAACACAGACATGAATCTAATTCTGAGCATGTACATGAGAAAACAAAAAAGATCTACAGAGTGGACAAGAGAATTGATTGCGAAGTATCCATTGTTCAATGCAACTGAGATGAAACACATGGCCACACATTCCCAATTTGCTTACTGCATCTTCTTCTTCATATTCCATCAAGCAAATGGAGCAAATTTCTTCTCTCTCTGCATCACAGCTATGGCCCTTTAAACTGTGGTACCTTGCCACAGGTAGAGAAGGAGTTTCCTGGAACTCCATGTCTTTGGCCACACCTTTGGTCTCACAAGAGAACAACACCATGATGCTTCTCTTGAGTTGCATCAGTGGAATCAAAACGCATGTGTAGAACACAATGGTCACTACCCACAAACGAGATTGACAAACCATAAAACAATTCATCTTGTGATTAATCTAATACTCCAAATGAAACCCTCTTTCTTGTGATTCTGGTGTGCAGATATCTGTTGTTATCAGTGACAATGATGCTTAACAGAAGGGGTGTGTGTATATATATATAACATAGGCTTGTAAGAGAAGGAGTATGACTTATATATGTTGACACCGACCTCTTCATAAAATAATACAAATCCTAAACCTAGATTCTTGTTTTATAAGAATAACTTATTCTTATTAGTTCTGACTTTGGAGGCTGCTGATTTTTTATTACATTGGTCAGCTACAACTCTGTTCATGTTTTTGTGCATCATAGGTTTTGGGCTGCTTATTTTAGAGCATAAAAAACTAAGTCGTCCCTTGTTTACATGTTTAAATATATATAAATTATCGGCTTAAAATTCATAGAAAAAATATTATCAATTGTTTAAACTGTTATATCAAATTACCATTAAGTCTCGGATATATTTTGGTACGAGAATATATAAGAAATTTTCATTTAATAAGTGTAAATTTTGTTAAATACGCGTTTTATAAGATTCAATAAACTGAGCTTTGAATGCAGAATAATAATAGTGATAGATATGATCTTCCTTAACCTGAGGTTTACCATATTTAATGATTTGATAGATTGATTAAGGTGTATAAGTATAAACAGCGGAGTGGTGCAGTGGTTTTGGTTCAGTTTGGTGCAGTGGTTTTGATTCGGTTTGGTTTATAAAAAATGAGCGACAGCGTGTCGTGTGCACAACAAGTGCAGCGGTTAGCGGAGGGGTAAAGCTATCTCATCCTTCTTACTTACTTTTGCATCTGCACCATTTCCATTAAACTATTATATTTCAGAAGCATCTTCACCTTTTTTTTTATATTTTACTTTAACTTTTTCGCTACTTTTTACTTCATTCTAGTCACTTTATTGGCATGAAATATTGGTTAGCTTTCTCAATCACAGATCTCATACAAAAAGTAATTAATTACTTTTAGTGAAATATCTTATCTTGATAATATTTTTTATTCCAAAATCAAGATTTTACTTAATGTTAATTAAATAGTTTCATTTAATTTAAGATTTTCATGTGTAAGAAGAAAATATCTTTTACTATTACTATTAAAAAAAATACTTAAAATGACTGTGATTAATCAATATTTACACCATCAAAAGGAAATTAATTCTTCACTTATTTATCACATTTTTTACATTCTTTCTATCTCTCTTTTATCTCCCGGACCCTTCTACATCTTGTTCTCCCACAAAATCAATATTGAAAAATAGAGTTAACCTTATGAAAATGATCTCACTTTGTTTTAATTCATTTTCTTACTAAAACGAATCATTGTGGTTTGATTATATTTGTTCCCTGTATTACTGAAATAGTCCTAGAATGCAGTGCTTGTAATAAGTGAGATAATGGTTTAGAATAGAATGTGAAAACTGTCCTCTTCTTCTTTTCCCCTTGTTTTAGCCAAATTGTCTTAAGAATTGCCATCTTGGAATGAAGTGTGATTTATCAGCTAATAATAAATAGGTGGAGCCTTTGAGTTAATCATTCACCTGTCAGGCCCACATGGTGGGTCCTTAGCCTTGCTGAAAATTCAGAGTACATATAATAACGTCGGAGAATTTGTTTAATGTTACCAGTAAAGGAGATGTTTAGAGTAAGTATGTACGTATACATAAAAGTGAATTTGTTTAATGTTACCTATAAAGGAGATATTTAGAGTAAGTATGTAAGTATACATAAAAGTTGTATTAATTTCTATTACATATTCACATGTCTTTCCATTTTATAAAACCTAGAGGTGATGAAAGGTTTAAATAGTATACATGTGATTATAAATGTAAAATCATCTTCATTCAATTGATTAAGTATGATTTCTTTATCCTGAGCTATTTTAACTCTTAAAAAGACGATAAAATATTTATCAAATATAATTAAAATAATATTGTACTAAAGTTTCAAAAATCATATTGTACTAAAATAATATTTCACTAAAATGATACTTTTGTATCATGAAATATATTTTTTAGTGTAAAAGCACAAACATCTAATAGTTTAGTTAAATTAAATAGACAATATATCCCAAAAACACTTTTAACTAACTTTTTATCAGAACAGGTTTCACAATGATGGTTATTTATGTTCTATTATTAGGGTGCATCAAGACATACCTGAAGGCATAGGAATTGACCCCGTTCGATATCCACTGGTACTCAGAAACTCAAATATGAGATAACTTGTCTCTGTGTTTCCTCTTCAGGGTACTAGATTCTACTTGAAATATACCTTTTTTTTATCACCCTTGAACTTGAGTAGCGATTAAGTAAAGATTAGCCCCCATTACTAGAAGAGCCTTCCTAACAATAATTAAAAGGAGGAGGAGAAGCGCAAACCTCCTTATAAAATCTCCTTCTAAGGAGAAAGAGTCACCGCAACTCCCCAAAGAAGAAACTTCACCAATGTTAATAACCTTAGTAACATGAAGGCTATATCACCATGAGAAAAATCAATAAACAAAAATGATGAAAACATGGTAGAAAAAATTATATACCTAGGTTGAACAGAAGAGGAGGATTGATTACATGAAACTGCAAACAAGATGAGAAGAAAAACGCTGAGTTCGAGATTTAAACAAAAATATCAAAATAAGAGACGAAAATTAGTGTCACTATTATGTTCATAGTAACTTTAAGAGTCATAATCTCGTGCCGAGGATCACTAAAATTCATCCCCCAAGATGTTCGCAACTTCTTGTGTCAGTTGATTTTTCACCCATTTCTCTCAGTTCACAAAAAACCGTAAATAACTACTGTTTTTCATTAAGCAATTGCTAATTACAGAAGCAACCATTCTTTGATAAGATGTGCTACCAACGGTGGTGTAAAAGTGATTGTGATAAGGCTTCTATTTAGTTTTATGTTGAAATAAAAAAAAAAAAAAAACAAAATAAGAATAACTACATAGAAGGTTGTTTGAAGCTCATTTCAACCATTTATTATTATAGTAAAAAATCTTCTGGTTAAACCATTTGATACAGTGGACCACCTAACCAATGTCAAATGTGCAATAAGGTTAATATATAGGTAAGTCCTCAAAAGTCACATTTTGAACTAGGTAAGTCCTCAAAAGTCTCAAGGAATATAGCAACAGCATATGAAAGGAACATTTGAAAATGGTCCCACAAGACACAACTTATAAATGCATACTTCTATTTGTTGACATACTAAGAAAAGTCAAAGCAGTTGTTTTGTTCGGAATAGAAAATGACGCCTGGATGCCACTTAGAGTCAATGAGAATAGGACAGAAAATCAAAATAATACACACAATGAGAAATCAGAAAAACAATGGTGATAAATGAGAACTAGGACAGCCTGTCACCTCTTGGGTGATAGAAACATGAAAAATCTGTTAATACCTTCCATATCCAATAAGTGAAGAAAATACATTTGTTTTTAAATACTTAGTTAGTCAGATGAAAAATATTATTCAAACAGTTAGTTAGAAGGATGAAAACTGGTTTTGTCAAACAATTGGAAGAAGTAGCCAATCCCTATTGATTATTCGTATTAGCAACCCCACTGAAATGTGCATAGACACAATAATGACTCTTTACGAGAAGATAAGGATGCCAACAGGAAGAGGTAATGAGCATCAGCGTTTCACAGTGTGGTGTGACAACTTTGGAAAAACAACCAAAGAAAAGAAAAAACAAAAACTCGTAACGTTGTTGTGATTATGAGAAACATTTTCTATCGATAACAAAAAAATCACCACGATGCTATAACTATTATTTATAATCATAAAAAAGATGTTCTTTAATTTAAGTAATTGAAAGGGAAAAAGAGGAAAGAAAGAAAAGATGGAAGAAGAAGAAAATGAAAGGACAGGAGATTAGGAGCGACCACACCTTGTCACGGCCATGCCTGCTGTTAGCACGCTTTCTGTCTCGAACAACTTTTATCGAACACATTCCACGCAGTTTCTCTTCACACCAATAAATTAAAAGTTAAACCAACACTCACACTCTACACTGCACACATCCTTCTCTCTCTCGATTCATGAAACTCTTGCTCTCTCTCGTGACTCCTTCGCCATAATAAGCAAGATGAAAATCGAAACAAGGAAATAGAGTTCGAAGGTTAGTAATCGAAGCATGCGATCCCCTCAGCCGCTTCGCAACGGCGGTGATAACAGTTGTTCGCCGTCGCACAACCGTCGCTTCCAGTCCACAGTGGCGGAACACAAACTACGCCGTTTCAACTTCCTCATACTTGTTTTCCGCCTAGTCTCCTTCTCCTTCTCCCTTGCGTCCTCCGTCTTCGTGCTCACCAACACTCGTGGCTCCGATACACCTCACTGGTACCACTATGACACCTTCAGGTATTCTTATTCTAACTAATTTCTTTTTATTTCAGGCCTAATTTATATATTCTATTCGTTTATTTCAAAATTCGTGTCGAAATTGAAGATTAAGTTACCGAAATCCGTTCAGGTTCGTTCTTGCGGCGAATGCGATAGTGGCGGTATACTCCGTGTTCGAAATGGGCGCGTCGGTGTGGGAAATTTCACGAGGCGTAACACTGTTCCCCGAAGTGTTGCAAATATGGTTCGACTTCGGACATGACCAGGTCATAATCAAAATAAGATTCGACAAATTCCATACTCTCTCTCTTTAATTCTTTCACTCTGAATTGTGTGTGTGAAGGAGTGATGTGATGTGATGTGGTGGCGGTGCAGGTGTTCGCGTACCTGCTGTTGTCAGCGAACGCGGCGGGGACGACGATGGCGAGGACGCTGAAGGAGATGGACACGTGTAGGGCGAGCAATGCATTCTGCGTGCAAATGGACATAGCCGTAGCGTTGGGATACGCGGCGTTTGTTTTCCTAGGGTTGACCTCGCTCTTAACGGGCTTCCGCGTCGTCTGTTTCATAATCAACGGTTCCCGTTTCCATCTCTGAGGTTGGTTCTGCGTGGGAACGACACAGAGGAGCCCGCCATTAACGAATATTTTAGGTGGGGCCCGGTTCTCTTTTTCACTGTTCTCCAAAAAAAACAAAGTCTCCCATTTTATCAAAATTATTTGTTAAAAGTAATTAAAATACACTGTTTTGCTGGGAGTGTGTACAAAACAATTTTTTTCCTTACAGTAGCTTCTATTCCGTTTTATGTGTTGAACAGATAATATGTATCTTCATTACTTTTAAAGTATCGTCCTTATTTTTAACAAGTCTCAATGACACTTTTATTTATTTTAAATATGGAATAGCTTAATAATTTTTTTTATTTATAGAATCACAAATTATCTACTCTGGTCGTAAGTTTCTTTTTTTCATAGTAATAATTTTTAAAATAATATCTGATAGATTCCATACTCACTCTCCCCTCTGTCTTATATATAAAGTAAAAACCCGCGGGAAGAAGGTGCTTAAGTTTTGTGTACTTTTGATATAGAATGAAACATCGTCCGAAAAGATTAACCACATTTTGTGAACTCGGAATTTTCGATAATATTAATTAGTCCTTATTTATGATAATAAATAATTAATAACGATATAAAAGTATCTAGATGTTCGTAAAATATATTATTGAAATTCACGAGAGTAATGTAACAATTATAATTCCGACATAATCTTCACGTGTGGTTCTCCCACCGCCTAGAATCAAACCAAACACTGATCTTATATAAAGCATAATATTACACTTATTGATATAAAGTACACCTAAACATGACAAAAATCATAATCCTTTATAGGGTTTTACAGGGCAAATTTAAAATTGCAGTATCCAACTTCTATTTGTTTATTTAGCTAAATTATCATTTACGAATAATCACACGACAACTTTAAAAGAATACAAGGGCTGTTTGTTATGGCATGGGACCAATAGACGGTGATACCCAATCGTGTTTCTCCATCAAGCATGGCATAGTAACCATCACTATACAAAACACGTTATTGGCTTGATTGCATCATATTCTCCCACTTACTTATTAGTGGTCGTACATTAAGATGCTTATAGACGACACCGAAGTTGTATTTTATTTCCAAATTATCCCCACACTAAATGAAATACATGAAGACATTAAAACGAAACTTCTCACAATGTTATTTTTTTCATACTACAATTTTGAATCATTCTAAAATCTTAAAAATTCAAACCCCTTCCACTTTAACTTATAAGGCCAGTTTGATTCATTTATAAAATCAATTTCATTTCACAGTACGCAGTTCCAGCCGGAACGATGATCAAAATTAATTTGGATGCACAGTTGAATAACAAAAGCAGTTCAAATAAAATTTTACTAAAATTAATTCTACTACTCAACTTTAAAACAGATATCCATCTGCAGAAGAAACTGAACTTTGCCATTGAAAACTAACGTGGAAAAGAATTATAACAAATTAGTTAGATAATCAATATTTCAATTTTTTTCCCAAAAAATGTTAGAAAATTCTGCCTTAATAAGAAATTAAGAATTGATTCTTATAAGGTAACGGCTGAAGTTGACACAAAATTAAAAAATGTAAAGGAATAAAAAGTAAATCCAATTTTGCAGAGCATTTGTAGCAAAAAAAAAACGTATCATAAAAATGCTAAGTAAAATTAAATAAATTATAAAAGGATTGAAGTCCGTTCGTGTATTAAATAAATATTTACAACAAGACTCCAACTAATTCTAATCTTCACAGAATTAAGCAACAATTATTTTAAAATTGGACTTTAATTAAATTTAATAAAACTAATTTTAAACTGCTGAGTGTGTGGGTCTCGCCAGCAAATTTTAAATTAGAATAATCATAGCGATAAGAATTAGTTTTATACATTGACGGATAGCACGCTCACTATCAGATACCTTGAGATCTTTCGGCTTCAAACTTTAAAATTGAGCTACAAAATGCCAAACTACGTTTTAGAGGTGGCTAAACGACAAAACAAAAATAATAATAATGACATCCAAATATATCCATGCCATGGGCGAGCCCATTTTTCCCTTAAAAGTTCGCAATGATATACAAAGCAAGACTATGTTTTTAGTAAGCACCTTAAACCGCAAAAGCACATTTCCAAAATTTACATGAACACGTCCTCAATTATCTCATTAAGCTTGAGAGCTAGTATACTACACTCTTCGACCATTTAAGTTGGACCTCAGTCTATAATTTCATGGAAACGACTCTGCTCATCATCTTTCAACACTATCAGTATGCACCTAACTAACAAAGCATAATAGATTATCACCAGTATTATCTATCACAAAGCAAATATTGGGAGGAGTGCCTACCATATCGGGACATTTTCAGGGCGATGTTTTCTTTTCCAGACTTTTACTGGCACCACATCGGAGATCATTACTCAACCTAAAAGGACAAAACACTCACTATTATGCGTATCCACACACTGACACCCCCAAGTTGCCAAAACTTTTCAGTGACTGACGTATGGTAATGCCAAAGGAAAATTAAGCAATGGTAATGCCAAACCTTTGATATGGATGATCGATATTTTAAGACACTTCGAGTCATCCTTTTTGTAACCTTGCAGCTGAATGACCTCCTAGAAATAGTAACTTAATAAAATAACAAGCAAGCTCCATAAGATAGGCAGAGGGTGGACATAAAGGAGCATCACATCTATTACTTTAGCTAACTATAAACCAAAATCCATAATGCGTAGTTTTTATTACATGCCAGCAAGCACATTAATGATAATTGAAGACATCAACTAGCCCTAAAATCCTACAACTTTGCTTAGCATGCTTGACTGAACTTAATATAAAAAAATAGTTCAACAAGCTGCCTCTTCACAAGATCTTTTGATTTTGACGGAAGTCAGATACAGTTTATCATATGATTTTGGAGTTATTCTTATACTAGAATTAAAGTATCACTTCGGTAACATGGTAACATACAAATTTTTTTAATGCTAAACTTTATTAGAGGTGAACTCTAATTTATGGGAGCTGAGAACCAAAATCATTTAAGTAACTATATCTAAGTTTTACCCAAATGATTTTCTAACATGAAGTCCTAATACCAACAAACCACAAATTTAATTATTTCAATGGTCACGTCATCCAAGTGGAGCCAGAATTCCGGAAGGTTCACATTCAGGATTCACTACACTCTTCTCTTGCACCATCCAAAACTGTATAGGGTAACACGGAGTCACCAACTATTTTGGCAACAAAAAATTCCTCACATGTTACTTGAAAGTGCAAGCCTTGGTCCTCCCTTGTCTTTCCATCCTTATCAGTTGAATCATTTCACAATTAAGCAATGAATATAGGCATATCATATATAGGAGATTCATAAATCAGCCAAGTAAAATGCCCATGTTATATAAGACGGCTTACAAAAACAACATTTGCTCTAATAGTTCAACGATTAGATTATTGATCAATTGACTTTATTACTTCAATTTGACAGAATCAAGAAACACTATTTAGGCGAAAAAAGGTTGTGCATCATAACCAAACCAAGCAATTTAAAAAAAAAAAACGAATTACTCCAGAATTAACAAAAACAGATCAAATACAGACTTTCAAATTTCTATCGAAAATTATTGTTATTGAAATAAAAAAGCGATCACAGTGGGATTCGAACCCACGACCTTTAGATTCGGAGTCTAACGCGATATCCACTCCGCTATGCGATCGTTACACGAAAGTTACCAAATGAAAAGTTCAAGAAGAGCCCCGGCATTCAGATGAACATCGTCATGCAGATCTACCAAGTGAAAGGGAAAGGAAATTCATCGTATGACAAAATTATTCTAAGGAAATTAAGAAATAAAGAAAAACTAAATGGCATATGAAAACTAAAATGGCGAAGACGAAAGAGAATGAAGATCGACACATAGCAACTACATGCACAAATTTATAAATTGATGGAATCGAAAATCTAGCATTGGTAGCGCGAGCAAGAGGAAGAGAGAAATTAGGTTACCTGGTAGTTTTCCAGTGTTTTTTTCTCCCACGATGAAACCAACCGTTTGATCCTCTTCTTGTTTTATTTTAAAACTCACTATGGCGTGCGTGGGCCTAAATTGCAATCTCAATCAAACTTATACTTAACCATGCGGCCCACATCAACACGCGGTTAATTCTTTTCTCAACCCCACGTGTCATTCAGCACGTGTTCATATATACAAGCGATATAAGATTTGAACGTAAACAAAACCTCTGAACACAGCATACCAAATTATATTTCAGTATTTATTAAATCATTAATACATGTGCAATCATTCATTCAAGTATGATTTTCCTATACAGGTAATATATAGAATAAAAAAGATTATGGTTAACTAAGTAGAAATTATTTTGAATTTAGAACCAATGTTTTTTCCTTCATTTATAGTATTAAAATTTGCATTGAAATTTGAAAAAAGTGCTTTCAAAACTTTAACACAAACATCCTAGTTTTGCAACAGTAAAATTAAGTTTGAATTTAAATGAAAAAATATTTTTATTTCATTAGGAAGTTAACAGCGCCAATCTCTGTGAAGGACAGAAGGTTGAAGGTGAACTTTATTGACACCTGTAGTTGATGAATGATGATGATGATGTACATCGAGCATTAAAAATGATGCACTCCAAATTTATTTCCAAAAACAAAAATTTGTTCAAAATTTATATGTGCTCATGCTACCTTCTTGCACATGTATGTATCTAAATGTTTGTGTACATAAATAAGCAAAAGAATTGGTTTTTACATGAAGCTGAGTTAGAGAAAACAATAACAATTCAGAAAGGGGAAAGACATCAAACATGGTATCTAAGCTCCAGCGACTTCTTGAGCTTGCTTCAACTTCCCTTTGCTTTTCACAGTCTTACCAACTGAAACCCCTTTGCCTTTGTCTTCCACTTCAGTTTGGATTTCAATCCTAGCAAAGACTGGTTTAGGTTGAGCCATCACTTGGCCACCCTTAAGTCCACCCCACTTGGTGTCTCTCTATAAAGTCAAACAATTTACTTAAATCAGATAGGTAGCAGAACATATTGTTCAAATCCATGAATAAGTCGTGTGTATGTGAAAAAAATCTGGTTTGAGTGTGCATGTTTATGATATGAGAGAGAGAAAGAGACCCAGGTTGCTGCATCAAATTGGTCCCTGGAATAGCCAAGTTGTTCATATATTCTCCAACTCAAGCTTGGTGTAACAGGAAATAGCGCAATAGCAATAATCCTCACCGTCTCCAATATAATTACAAGGTCCTGCTCCAGCATCATAAAAAAATTATTGCTATGGCATTTGCTTATCTTTAACAGCATCAAAACTAAGATGACACATTGATTTTATGTTACTTTTTATCATTCAACAACACGCTCATCAAGAGTATTATACTTGTTTAAAGAAAGGAAAAAAAGTTCAAAATTGATAATTGTCAGTTAAGGAGTTTGGATGTCCATGAACTTAATTAAATTTCTGACTAAGTACTTAAAAATAGAAATTAAGGTAAAATGAATTAAATTGCTCTTTTGAGTTACAATACAACAAACTTGTGCGCTTCAACTTTAATAAAAGCTTTCTACTGTAATTTTTCCTAAAGTTAAGATGTACAAGTTGATTTTAACTTGTGAGAAAAGTTTAATTCGTTTTAGCTTCTTCTTTTCTGCTCCTATAAATACTTATTGAAAAGTTTATTCAAATTGACCCTGTATGATATTTTAAATAATGCTGAAAACAATTATGGAATATGTAATAACTTAAAATATTATGATGATGGAACCTTTTTAGGTTAAATATGCTCTTAATCACTACAAATAAAGTAATGTATCATATGGTCCTTCTATCAATAAATGAGAGAAACTAAAAGGGTTATCTTTTTGTGTTGGACACGGACCACATCTAACACATTTTCATAAATAAGGGACTAAAAATGAATATTGTCTAATTTGTAAGGGATGAAACAAACTTAACCCATTGTTCTGTTTCCTGGTAGCATTCGAAGTTTGATATTTAACAGAAAACAATATATCATGTTTAGACTTTTACCAAACTAATATGTAATTAAAAATAAAAATGCACTATTTCATACAAAAGGATCCAACAAATTACCTTAGCAGCTGCTTCAGCAGCAGTATCTCCTTGCTTAAAGAGAGACCATGGCGCACGCTGATCCATATAGGAATTACCAACATTCCCAATCTCCAGAACAGCCTCACAAGCTGATGACAAGGAGAGATTTTCATAGTGAATGCGAGCTTTATCAACCTACAGACATAGTAAACATTCGTAAACTTTAAGTCACTGCCAACTCCTACCATAACTTATGAACAGCCGCAAAAAGAATAGCTTTAGAATTTTGTCAAACCAGCTACTACGGAGATTCGATAATAAACCAAGGGTCGGACTGCTATTTTGAAATTTGAAACAGAGTATACAATAAAAGTTCTAATGATGTAACCTGTAAACAAATCATTTTATATGATAGGGACTTCGGTATTATAGGGTACATAAGTCTCAAATTGAGTAGTATAGGATGCGCATTGGATAAGTATTGATTCATCTCCCCTCATAGTTTGTTATTGAGGGCGTGTTCTCCAGATTCATATGGTATATAACAAAAAAATGACAAAAATATAAATGCCTCAGGTGGGGTCCTTGGATATGCAGAATTGTATCTAGCTAGCCTCTGACACCCATCAATGTTAAATGCCATATTTTGCCTCCTTTTTCATTTTTTCTGGATTATTATTGAAATATATTGTTAAATGCCAAATATTTATTTTATTGTGTCCAAATACCTAGAACACAGGATAAAATCAAAGTAGTTAACATCCACTTTCAAATCCAAAGTGGTCTCCTACTGAATGTGAAAACAATATATTTCAATTTGAAATTCCTAGCATTCTGAATAATGATTACAAGTTACAATAAAGCTACCATGCAGCCAAGTAGCATTCATCACCAGGTCAAAAAAATATGCTAGAGAGGGTTTCCCTAGTTATTGAATTCACAGGTAGCATTACCTTAAACTGCTGAACTGTGACATGCTTTAAAATTAAAAATTGAATTTATAGATTTAGAAATATAGTTTACAAAGAGGTTTTACCAGATTCTCTACATTGTCCTTGAATGAATTTCCTTCAGCAGCCGTGGTGGAATCCACTACCAGAATTGATTGGCAGTTCTTTTTTAGAAGCCCTAGTGTTCGATTAAGAAGATTTCCTGCCAAAATAGTGAAGGAAATACACATCACATTTTGCATTATAATCATAATAGAAAGAAGGAAAAAATCAATTGGTTACTAAATATTACAAGGAACAAAGCAAACTTTAAATACCAACTGTATTGGCAAGATGCGCATTGACAATATTGATGAAGCGTTCCTCTGAATAATCTCCATCACTGCCAAATTCCACCTCTCTGAGGAAGAAGTATCTAACTGCATCTGTCCCAAACTTATCAACCAAATCATTTGGTTCAAGTGTATTCCCTAGTGACTTGCCCATCTTCATGCCATCCTAACATTTCAAAATAAAAAGCATTGCTGCATGAAATGAAATTAATATAAGAAACAGATTTATGAAACTTTACACTGTCTCAAATTGCCAAGCTTAGCTTTCAACCTTTTGCGAAGAACTACAGTTATTGTAAATTTATTCCAATTTGAATTGAATTGAATGTATTTTGGCTCAAGAATTAAACAAGAAAATAGTAAAAAGTTAAGACAAGAATGCAATGTTCTGGGCAGGTAGAGTCGTTAGATATGCAAAGAATCTAGGTAGCCTCTAACAACTCGTTTACTTGTTCACCAAGTTCGAAGAATAGTACATAAATATTACACAAGGTTTCCTCCATACATGGAGTTTCCTTCTTCAAAACAGCATGAACAACAAACTGACACAGTGGCTACATCCTACTCTATGGATCTGTCACAAAACATACAAGAAAAACATGATAATGTAGTCCTTATGAGTGATGGATTCTCGGTTCGTTATTCATATGTAAAACTAATTAAATTGATCACAATACCCATAGACGTTACCAGTTTGGTGCTGCCCCCACTTACACATTCTTAATTCGATGCCTATTGTAGAGACCAAATTAAGAATGTGCCATATGTATAGTGGCAAAATTATGAATATGTAAGCAATTTAACAATCAACATGGCAGAAGGGATCAAACCCGTCATGTTTGCATATATATAGGGACCAGTTTCATACATTTTTATGTATATAGAGTGATCAGATTAAGAATTCATGACACATATAGAGACTAAATTATATGTTTAACTAAAAATATATAACACTATAACTGAAACACATCCATAATTTACTGAAGACACAACTACTTCAAAAACAATAAAAATTCAGATCCATAACTACCGAAGGACACAAATACTGCACAGACACTAATAGTTCAAATCTGATGAATCTTCTCACAAAACCCTTCATAGGTCTATGAAGGCTCCCCAGGAAATGAATAGCCTTGTCCTCAAGGCCAAAACTGTACCATTGTAGTTACCTCAAGGCGAAATATTAGATAATAAATAAGTTCAACTACAAATACCTTTGTCAAGAATCCATGGCCAAATACCCTTTTAGGAAGGCTTAGTCCAGCTGACATTAGCATAGCTGGCCAATAAACAGCATGGAAGCGTAGAATATCCTACAGAGTGAAAAGATATTAAAGATATATAGAAACTCAATGTTTTGGCTATTCATTCATCTCTTTTAATACTCATAAGAAATCCATTAATTAACATACATCAAAGGTTGCAAAACCATCGCAAGAATTCAGATGCTTCAGTAGAAACTAAAAAGTTTAACAAAAAAATTGACATGTTATATTTTTTGGCAAAAATATTAAAACATATAAAGCAAACAAATGCTTAAATCAAAAGTTCCCATTTTTATGACGCAGCGATAAACCATGCAAAAAAGGTAGCATCTCATCAAAAGACAACTCAATGCAAGTTGGAACAAATTGTGCAGCCTCCCACACACAAACAAATAAGAGAATGATGCATAGATGGAAGCATGTGGTACAAAATGTACCCAATAAGTACATAAATTGCCTTCAATAAATCAAGTTTACTAAAAAAATAGGAAA